GGGGGGTACCCCATATCCGTTCCATATCTTGCCTGGTATACACGTACGCACTCACTGGCGATCTTTTACGCCACACAGAACGCACTATATGTGCGCGCAGCTTCATGGTGACAAATTTCTTTTGTTCATAAGGTTAATGTACAGATTTCTCCCATTTATTGTACACTCACACCACACCCCAGATTTGTTCTGATCAACCCTTCGAGCAGTTGACCCTAAAATAGCCAAGGGTCGCTCCGTCCCCAACATGTTTTGTCTGATCCCGTTGCATTGCCTTCACTCGCTAAGCCTTCATAAGCTCTTTCAGTAATATCTACCTGCCATTTTACACCACTAGAGATTTATTTCCCCGTGCTTTCCCCTTTATGTGAGACAGATCTGCCAAAAAATAGGTATTCCATTGTTGTGCTTGCTGCATACGGGTTAAAACGTGTGTTGCCTTGAACTGCAAATGATCCTAACAACAAAACTGTAACTCGGATTGAGTTAAACTAAACAAATGGAGTGTATTTAGATAAATTCTAATTTTGTAAGAAATATTATCAAGTAAAAACCTAGTTCTGGGACAGTCGAGTTTGCTTTCTACACACGGTACAATAAAAACATCCATGATTCACCCTACGAAAGATGGTTGATACACAGAGATCGTAACCCCCAAATATCGCACACATCAAATATATGTGCCCTCTGGGTTTGAAGGGGTCCACAAAACGGCTCTTTTAGGGTAAGGCCCAAGTCCAATTTCGTGGCAAACTGCTTTACACTATCGTCATATAATATTGTGTGTCTTCTATCGAACAGTGCTACTCTGTGGAAGAGCTCCTCTCGGACCATTCCTTAACCGAGGAGGATTTACTGAACAACACAGCGGCAGCACTGCAGGAAATCTGCCCGTCCCTGCTGTACCAGACCGCCCTGGATGAATGCTCGGTAACGGAAACAAAAGCCACGCCAGTCGATGACTCGGATGGCCCGACCACAGCACAAGGTTATAACTCTTGGTAACAAGTTCCTGCACACTGTAAGAGTTGTGGGGTTATGTTATGTTATGTTCCACATACTTCTTCAAACCTTACTAAACTGTACGTACATATATACCTCATTGAGTGTACCAACAAATCTGGTTTCGATAATTGGAAACAAAGGCTACCGATAAGGGGTGTAAATCCTGTGTGCAAGGGAATATAATGCCGCCCTCCCTCCTGACCAGAGTAACCTCTATTGGATCACCCCCGCCCCATTTTCGTGGCGTTAATAAAAGCAGGTTTGGGGATATTTCAAATAGTGCAGCTTATAAAAAGTTGGTGAAGGGCAAAAAACGATTGATAACTCTTCTCGTTACATGTACAATATGTTTGATAGTTTGGGGCTACGGTGTCCTCTGTGTGACCATCATCAACCTGGGGTCGCTCATGGGTGCTTTTGTTGTCCCATGCATGGACAAAAAGGTCTACAAGCTCATTCTAACCTACCTTGTTGGACTGGCCGTGGGCACTCTGACCGGCAGTGCTCTCCTTCACCTCATTCCCAAGGTATTCTAAGCTATAAGAAAAGCACATAAGTGTCAACTGGGTTCTTGAGATTGCGCCATGTATCAATTTTGTATGGCACCCAAATACATTAGTGCAGTTTATAATGACATTACATGTGCTAAACTTCCGTCTTCATGACGTATGCTTAGTTGACAGCGAATGGTGTCACTTGTGTACTTGAATCTAGAAAACAGTACGACGTGTCAAACGTATGGACACTGCAGCCGATTGGAATTTTGCTAGAAGACCGAGAAATTCATGAATGTGGAAGTTGACGAGGTGTTTATAATAACCTCTAAAATTGAAAAGTGATTTTGTGGCCTTACAGCATCGTTCACGAGATACGGTATAGGAGACGTTAGCTTTTATCTTGTTCACAAGTCTCTGAAAGCAAACGCCAACAGGATCAGTGGTGCTCTGTTTGCATTTCTCGTCACTGCCTTTCCCTTTCCGACAGTGGCGTATCCATCGCGGGGGGTAGAGGGGGGCAACTTTTCCCCCTGACGGCTATTAATTTTTCTTATTTATTTTTTTCCAAATGTGAATACTGCGGAGGTGAGTAGGAAAGAATCGGTACGTTTATTATCAACATAATAGATTAACTTTTCATCTTGAATGATCCCGAAAGGACATTCTCTTTTGAATTTGCACCCCCCCCCCGCATCTGCAAACATTCAAACTGAAAAGTGTTTCTTTTATGTCTTCATTCCATGTTCTTCTAGACACACGTTCTGAAAGTTAAACTGGTTGGATATGAGTTGGTGTGGAAGGGCGCATGCATCTTGGCTGGTATATACATATTCTTTGTGGCAGAACGACTCCTGAAGATTTTTTCGACCTGGAGTGACTTGAACAGGGTAAGTCATCGCATTGTGACGGGCACAAAGAAGCCAACAAGTCCGTCACCAGTCACTGTGGCTCATTAAGTCGGTGATGACATCTGCCCTCCCCCGGAGGGAATGCCAGTCCATTGAATGTTGCTCCCAGCTAATGATGGCGCCCGTTTATGCTCTCGTGTGAATGGATGCAAGCTGGGGTGAATATGGGCGATTCACAATAGCGCGCCTCCAAGAGTTTGAAACGCGTTGGCTAGTCACAACACGCGAAATTTGTCGATCCTTTCCAAACGCGCACACTCAGCTGGATCGATTGTGATTGGTCAACGCGTTGCAAACTCTTGGAGGCGCACTATTGTGAAACGCCTACATTGATTTGCCCAAGGCCACGCACCATATTTTGTGGTCGAGCCTCCGACCCTCTGATTATCGGTCATATATCATATGCCACTGCAACAATTCTGGTCGAAATGGTTGGGATACGGGCAATAGTCCTATCCTCTGAAGGTCCCCCACTCCCAGTCAATGTTGTCATGTCAAGCTGGAGCACAGACTGTACAACGTGACGTGACCCAGCATTGAGAAGGGGCTCAGGGGTGGGGACCCACCGAAATTTGGCCAGGATTGCATGCCATGTAAAAAGAGTGCTCTTGCCGTATACATTCGGTAATCTTCAAGCCTGGAAATCTTGATATGTTGTAGCCCCCCTCTTTTTTTAATACGGCTACACTCCCACTTATGGAGATTTGCCTCGCAACTTGTTACTGCAAATACTGGAAACGTGCTGGAAGAGGGTTAGGTGTCTAAGGGAATTTTTTGGTTTGGAGAAGTTTGAAGGACAGTAATGCAGATGCCACTGTGGAGTGGAACCCAAATCATCCTAACCACAAGTACTTTACATATAATTCCGAGTCTATGCAGCATGAAGTGTAGATTCTGTTGGGAAACAGGCAAATAATAAGCACGTAAGAAATGAAGGGATGAACAAACCTTATTTTACAATCTGAGCAATGATAGCGCAGGTTGATCCCACAGGTGGGATATTAGCCTCCTAGCCAGTTAGGATTTGAGCAATTCTAGAGGTCACTTTATTTGCATCGTTGATGTTGCTTTACAGGGGAAGAGACAGGAAAGTACAGCGCACATCTCGGACGATACCAAACCACGTTGTGACGACTATAAGATCATTTCGTGCGAATCTGACCATGGAGTGAGCGAATCTGCCTCAGCTATCAACGAGGTAGGTGTAAACTACGCGTGCTTGAAAATGGGCACGGCAATGATATCTGTAAAGGAAACGTTAAAACTGCCAAGCTTCTTTATGTTAACAACAGAAAAATCATGATAGTAAATTATAGAATGAGACAATAGGGAAGTTAAATACTAAAGATCGGCAGATGTTGTCGTTATAATTGCATGCGTATATTTTGAAAGTTCGAGGGAAACATTGCGTGGCAAGCCTTTTCTACAAATTTCTGTCGACCAGAATGTATTGATACCCACCGTAACCATCTGAAAATATATATCTAGGGATGTATAAACCTGATTTATATTTTGCGCATGGCACAGACAAATCACATTCATGGCCACAGTCACGGGACACTGGCCAGGAATGGCAAGGTGCGTATCGCCACGGTGGCTTACATGATCGTCTTTGGGGACGGTCTGCATAACTTTGTAGACGGGTTAGCTATCGGGGCATCCTTCAGCACGTCACTACTGAGTGGGTTCTCGACTTGTATTGCGATCGCCTGTGAGGAATTCCCGCATGAACTTGGTAGGTGTTCAGACAGGTTCTTTGTCTGTATGGTGTCAACTTCAGTTGCTTGTAAACGAATTTCCCTGACATAGCCAGATCTTCACAAATATTATTTTCAACCTCTGTTTGTGTCTCTAAAAACCACACCACAAAAAGATGTCACAGTTCTCATGGAGCACTGATATTGACGAGCGGTGCAATTGCTGCGACTTTGACTGTTGCTGCTGATGGTGTTACAGTTGGTGCTTTGTGTCGTTCATACGACAATCTGGTATTATTTTTTGCCAACAGGTGATTTCGCTATTCTGCTCAAATCTGGATTGTCAGTCAAACAGGCAATGGGTTTCAACTTCACGTCGTCTTTGGCTTGCTACGTCGGATTAATCGTCGGTATAACCGTTGGCCGTCTGACATCAGCAGAGCCCTACATATTTGCACTGGCTGCGGGCATGTTTTTGTACATCGCATTGGCCGATATGGTGAGATCTATATTATGTTTACACATTTTGACTGATTTAAGATGTTGGCCGCGCGATGAATTATAGCTTAGCCTATAATCAAGTCGCAGTTTACCAGCAGTCATTCAGTCTCTTGTCGCCTTGATTATGGACACTGACAATGGCTTTTCAATTCCTTGTCCTTGTCCTCTCCGTGTGCCAATACTTCTGAACAGGTCGTCAGTCCTGGTGTGCGATTTGGCCATTAATTCTTAATAGGAACTGTGAATCAGTTATGCATAATCACGCTGGCAGATTCTTTTTCCTTGCTTGTTCATATACAGCTTCCGGAGATCTCTAATGTGTCTTCCAAGGGCAACTTCAAACTCAGTCAAGAACTGGGCATCTTTGTATTGCAGAGTGCCGGAATGCTGACTGGGTTTGGCATTATGATACTCCTGTCTGCACTCCATCCTTACATCAAGATCAAAGGCTAGGCATTCATTGCAAACAACAGACCGAGTTGACTACACGATGCGTCAACATGCGTCTCGACATTAACTTTTATAGCAGAGTGGACAAATATTGACTGCTTCGAGTGGTATAGAAAAACTAGCCTCCTGAGGTGATTCATGGAGCGAATACCAAGAGATAAAGCAGTCAACATTTGTTTTATAACACCATACCCACGGATTCTGTACAACCTAAGCTAAAATCAATAATGAAACACCAAAGACAGAACGGGCAAATCGCCGGTGTTCCATTTTGCAAATCGTGTATGACGTGTAGGCGAATGTGTACACTGACAACATACACTACGTTTATAAACGCCACCCCATTTGCATTTTCGTTCTCTAATTTGTAGCAAGTACGTCTCCTGATTCAACGGGTGCGAGACAGATAAAGGTTTACCCATTGAGCCGAAATACATGCCTATGCTATTCGTAGTTTCATTGCTACGGATAGAGTTCTTTGGTTGCTACAAGTATAGTTCTTTTTCAGAGCGAGGCTGCCATGTATAGTCTTTTGGAGTGATGGTACAAAAATAATAAAACTAGCAAGCAATAAACAAAAATATTGACTCAATTTCGGCCAATCAAGATACAGAATCAGTGAATGAGATGTTGCAATTTAAATTATAAGACACTGGACCCAGATTCACAGCTCTGCTGATCTTAAGGGCGAAACTGCTTCCTATAAAGGCTTTGCGTGGTAGCCATCTTGCAGGGCAGTTCTGTTTATTCCACAGGGAAACTTCTTTTGTGCATACCCTATGGAACAAAAGCAATGGCCTGCAAGATGGCAGCCATGCAAACCCTCGATAGGCCTATAGCAGAAAGGTCTGCGCTTGCAGGAAGCGTATAGTTCATTCATGAACCTACATCCCAAAACTAAACATATAGACACGTCGTGGAGTCCTTGTGCTGGTGCTGTAAGTGCAGAATGGGGATCGTTAGCATGATTTCTGTTGTTGACAGAGCGGTGAAAATAATCCCAGAGGTCGTCATCCTGAGCCAGGTTAGCACTTCAAAAAGGCAAGATCGTCGAGAACAAAGCGCGCCACCGTGAGAATATTCAGTTCCGGACCGCCCCACTGATTAGGCCGACTTCCATGCTTGTAAAAAGGTTAACTCATGATTTGATTTCCACGCAACAAATATTGTAAGATGTAAAATCCAAGTACTTCACTTGGCACTAATCCTTTTCTGTCCTTGGGACAGTTCACGTGTACAGTGGGTAGTTTGTAAAATATCATGAACTCTTTTTAAAAAATGGTTGTGTAGAGGATTCCAACATAGAAATTCCTACAACACATTTCGTGGATCCCGGATGTTGATCCCAATGCAATCTCTCGTCCAACTTCGACACTCAGGAAAAATAAAATAGTCCTATCATTTCATCCTGTTGCAAACATGTTTTTAGAAACGCGTTTAAATCGGTTGTACTTGGAAGACGAGATATACAGGTTAAAAACATTGTACAAGAAAACGAGTTTAATTGGGGTTTCTGCATAAGAAACAGGATCCATTTACGAGAAAAAAATAACACATTTTATTTCTGTTTTCAGAATACAGAGTGCAAATATCATGTACTGGATCACTGACTATATTGTGCAAGATTGATCTACCTCGGGTACATAGGTAACAGGTGCTTGTCAGTATGGACGTTAATATATTATTTTACTCTTCTACTACAGGTGTATGGAATAGACTCATACACTGAATTTTGAAGAAGCGCGGGTTGAAGTGGCACATTTTGAGTGTGGTCTTACTGTACGTTATAAACTTCTCGGTGCAAATATATATGTACGTGTACTGATTTTTCTGCCACCTTCGCCTTAGCAGGATTAAGCAATTAGTTTACCTAATCTTCTGACATACATGGATAGAACATTTCAAACTAATCAGTTTCAGAAATCTTCCGTTTCCTTTTCTCTATATTTTTCTAATGTACACCACCACTGCCGACATATACATGCACAGACCTCTATAGGTAAACAAGGCCTTCTTGACAGTGTAAATGCAGAAAACATTTGTTCCAAATCACCGCAGTAATCTCTCCATCTAAGTTTGATCTACTTATTTTAGTATGTTAATGTGTATCCTTCCTGACTGTAGATTGGAAATCAGCAAGTAGTTGCCACAGTAACCCAATCCTACTACTGCTGATTCAAACTGTAACTGAAATAAGATTTCTCACCTTCCCTGATGTCACTCAAAGGTTCGGGTAAACTGAAACTAGTTACCATTCAAAACAAAATGAAACTGGGTGGTGGGCTTCAGAGAAATTCAAAGCCCCCCCCCTCCGAACACTGCGATAATGTAATCTGCGTCGTTTTGCATTCAAATGACCACTGCTTTAATATGGTGCTATTGTAAGAAGTAGGGTGTCAAAACATGAGGCAGGCAAACCTCAATTTGACTTATTTTTTACTGTTATTCTAACAAAAGCTAAATTTATAGTCCCACGAAAGAGTGCTTTATTTTTGTGGTGTGTACTATTTTGGTGACATGCTGATGGAAACAAAACGCTATTTTGAATCTTAGGGCCTACATGTACATGAAAGCGCATCGGCTTTGACCTTTAAACTCACAGTCAGATCCGGGACCCTTTCCGGTCGTCTGAAATGCGGCAATCTTTCATTTTTGCTTCGCAATCGCTGGTCCCTTCCTCGGCGATGCCTCGAAAGGTTTCTGAGTACTAGCAGTTTCAACAATTCTGAAAGTAGCTAGCGCTCGATGCCTTCAGAACGAATGCTGAGGTTTGCATAAAATTGTTGAGATTTTTGTTTTTAATAAAATGACATGTTCAGGTTCTATTTCAGGGTAACTAAGGTTGTGGTTTTTATTTATCGTAAACGCAAGCACAAACTTGTCCATATTTGCACAAATACAAATTCATCATACTTTTGAAAAAGTTAAAGTATTAGTAACTGCAGTAATATCTTCCAGATAAGACAAACGTTTATTTGTGCAATCGAGGGTATAGTTCTGTTCGGCAGATGGAACGTTCCACTGAACAAGACAAGGCTGCGTGGAATGGAACTTCCCACAAATACACGTGAACATACCACGATTTACTCAATTCAACAGCCGCAGGTTTCTTTTATTGGTGCTCTGAAAATCACCGAAAGCTGTATGTAAATGATGCTAATACAAGGAACCGATCATTGAGTTCAGATCTGGAAATCAGTCTTGTCACTCTGTCCATGGGGAAGAGGTGGACAGGACTTCTGTGTTCAACTTCTTGGGTGTTTTATTTTGAATTCTGAGAGCGAGCATGTTTACTACCAAGTCAGGAAGGTTTGGCTGCGGTCATATTGCTTCCCCCCCCGGGAGCACGACGTTATCTTTTTGTTTTATCATGCTCCCATTGAGAGCGTTTTTAGACTTTCTGTTAGTGTCGACTTTGTAACACTGTGAACCTGACAAATAAACTAGCTCATGTAGTTGATAGTTTCCAGTATTGTTGGTGCTAAGATAACCCAAGTTGAGATTTGCACAGACAAATCTCTGCAGAAGACTTCTGTAATCAATGCAAATACCGCTCAACCTGCTCTGGAGATTTTTCAGACGAGACACAAATATCGGTCACAAGGGGGCGAACAAAACGATCACATCATCCAGCAATAACATATCCTCATGGGGATTTTTAATAGCTGAATATTGTTCTTATCGTCACAAGAAAGTTTTTTAAGCAAGTTTATTTAATGACTTTTGATGTTAATCAGTGAGCGCTCATGATGATGTCTACTACATGATATATTTTTATACACTGCATATAATGCATACTTTTTAATTGGGTGCTCACCTTTGAAACAAGAAATAAAGATAGTTGCTTGCATGTACATGTATGGCTTTAGTTGAGTAACAGACTTTCACCTCGTCAGAAATTACTATAGCTGCAAACTTTCGGATTACTCTAAAATGTAGAATTGAACATTTTTACGTTAGTGTTATCGAATCAGATGTAATAGTCACTAATGCTTATAATTAAGTAGTGTGGCAAAGTATTGATATGTAGAAGTAACAGGTTAATAGTGATTTAACTGTAGTATTTCAACTAAAATTATCAGTTGAGACGTGTACTTTCCCAAGATACTGTGAAATACATACAAAGTTGCTAAATATTGTGAATGCGAAGTGTGTGGATTGACATATTTGTAAAGTCTCCGCACATGTACACTGTTCATGTACTTGTTTGCATGTCGTGATGGAACTGCATGTGTCTAGTGCATTGTTAATCAGTCTCGAGTCGAGCAATATGCTACATAAGTGAACTGAATGAAGGGTAGGCCTAGTTAGTTTCCACTTTCCATTCCATTATATGGCACTATACTGATTATGGCTGCAATACAATGATTTGAGACTGAGCTATGATCCACAACATTCAGAACACAAGGATCTGCTCAATTCAGATACAAGGACAGCACTTATTCCTTCAAAAGAGTACCTGAAGGTTTCCAAAACCGACCATGCACAGTTGGAAGTTTTTACATGTATACGCTAATTCAACTCAATGGATTGACAATGTTTAAATTGTAAGTTGAAGACTGGCAGTTTTAATTTTGTAAAGTTTAAACCACTTCAGTGTGGGATATATTTGCACTGGAGAACTATAGGTAAATAAAAATGCATTTAACAAGAATTTTAACCGTGTCTATGCGTCTTCTTGTCTACCTCGGAAGTGTCTCTTTCCTTTACCCTTTCTGCTCTTAAAACTTTCTTCATCAACACCAGGTTTACTCTGCTCTGCTTTGTCGGTGTTTTCATGACAAAGTGAATTATCCCCTTGCAACTGGACAGGACCTTTATCTTTTGTTTTGCCTTTGTTCAGTGAATCTTCATTTTCAAAGTGATCTGTACAAAATACAGACACCGCGAATGATTTCTCACGTTCAGTTTCCACTAGTGCTTCACAGGCCGAGTCATGTTCCTCCCTCAAACGCGCAGTCTTTAGTTTTTTACTTTTCAGTCCTGGACCTTTTCCCACCTCGTACTCAGGCATCTTGAAGACATTCCCATATGTCTTCTTGAATGGCTGTTCTGCCTGGTCCTCTGTTGTGGATTGCCTGGGCTGTTTGAAGACAAACTGGCCTGACGCAGACGGGTCCTCTGATGCTGGGTTATCCACCTGTTGCTTCCTTTTCCTCAGTTCACGGAGGAACCCTAAAGCAACGCTTCTGTTTGCAGAGTTCCCGCACATGTTGGTCTCTTCCAGCGAATACTTGGTGTACTTGTGGGGGTTAAGCACATGATCAGGGGGGCCACGCCTCCCTCTTCCTGCCAAACCCTGAATAGGTCTTCCTTCTCCTCTACCACCGAAACTTCTTCGCCGGTCCAGGTGCTGGTCTGGCTTGCGAAACACAGTCGTGCTACTACTGCCGGAAGATTCCTGCTGTGCCCCTGCTTGCGGTTTTGCCACTGAGCCAACCTTGACAGATGGACGTGTGTCAAGAGATCTGGAACTGGGACTTACAGCTCTGTTGTCAAATCCTGGCTTCCCAGAAGATGGACGAAGAGACAGTTGACTCGCAGAGCCCACTGTGCTGCCCTTGTGGCTCAAGGCATCCCATGGTTTCTTAAAGATGCAGCCTCTCTTAATAAGTCCCTCCTCAGCATCATGCTCCTCCTCAGTCTCCACCCCAGCAGCTCTCCACCCTCTCTCGCTGACAGCAGAGCTGTAACCCTTCTCGATGGTCTCCAGGGAGCCAAAAATATTGGCACTCTTGGACTTGAAGTTAGCACTGTTTCGGATGGAACTTGTCTGCAGCTGGAACGTGGAGGGGGAACTTAAACCCTCTTCCTCAAAAGCGGACACTTCTGATTCAGAAGCCATAGTTACATCTCTTCATTGAACACCTGTTTCTGTGCATGGGTGGAGAACATTTTCAAGCATAGTGTTATTTTCAATTTTGAATGGGGAAAGAATTCCATGTACATGTACTTGATGTAGGCTACAAACACCAACAATTTTTCCCTGCATCTGCAGTAACCTAGTAGTATAAGCCATTTAAAGACTATACATGTACTAAAAAAAATCAAATTCAGCAGTGAAAATATCGAGGTATTCAGTTAGAAAACCATGAGAAAACACAGACATGTTGGCATTTTTTTCTCAGACCAACTGGTCTCAGATTGCGTTTGTGTACAGTCAAGAGGATTCTCACCGCTGAATGAGGAAAGTGTGATGCTGCCTAGCGTGGTAAGTCAACGGTAGCACTACAAACAAGTATCCGAAAAATCATATGCTCACCTGTCCTGATGGATATCAAAAGTAAGACGAAGATCCATCAAAACCTAGAATTTTATTCTACGTACACTGACGTAACACGTTCGGATCGGTCCTTGCTCTATGGTTTTACTAGTCAACCAGCATGAACTACGTGCATGACATGTACTTTGACTACACGTTCAGAACGTAGTCTGGTTCCAAGACAGTACGGCCTTTAGTTAACGTATAAAGGTGACTGGACGTTCAACCGCGTACATGTAGACTGGCTGCCTGCACTTTTCATGTGAGCCTTAGTGTGGCCATGGCGTGTATTAATTAATAAACAATGGAGACCGCATTGCTTCTGATTGGCCCTTATTTACAGGTTAAACAAGCGCCAATCAATAGCAGTGGTAATACCTTCATGGCACACATGTTTACAGAGTCTTGAATTGCATTAGCTAATGCTATTATAATGCATAAATCCGGCATTGCGTGTGAACGATTAAACAGCTGCGGGCTCTGCGTGCGGCTGGTACAGATCTTATTGGTGAGGCAAAATAACAACGGAATGTATAAATTACAAAACAATTAAGACAGCAAAATTAATCACATACACGGAATGTTTTTCTTATTTTACTCTCTGTAATTACCCTGTATTGTTCCACTGTTAATATCAGTGTATCAGTTTGGTAATTACAATATAATCGAGTACAACTTGCAATTACAGTAATGGAAGATATATATTTTTGTAAATTCATCCTTTTAAGTTATTTCTTCATTCAGAAATTCTATTGGCATGTTAACAGGGTCACAAAACAATATGGAAATGCCCCCCTTTCCTCGTGAGCGGCTGCCAAGCCCCCCCCCCCCCATATGCATAAGAGTTATCTATTGCTTTTGAGATGTGCCCCCGCCCCCAATGCTGGTATTGTGCTGGGATCTCAAAAACGTTTACCAGTGACGTAAACTTTTGTTATTGAATCTCTGCAACGAATCGGGGGGAGGTGAATACACATAGTTGTCATACTGTGCGAGAATTTGCAACCAAATATCACGCAAGACAAAATTGAATGCTCGCTGGTGTCCTACATACGAAGCTATTCCGTTCAAGATTGACTTTAGTACAGCCACTCCATTCCAACCAATCGGGTAGTCTTCGAAGTGGTGTCCATATTTCATCTGCACGCCAAGCCTTGTCATGACAATGCCAATGTATACGTCATCCCAAGGCAAGTATCTCGCATGCACTGATTGGTTGAAGATCCGCCCTGGAAGGTCACCTGACATGACGTAAGCTGGGCCGTTCAGATATGGCGGGAACGTGCTCTCCGGATACATCTCTATAGGAGTGTACCATTTTGAAATTACTCTCCTGGTGCGAGTGCGTTGAGGCAAGGTGGGCCCTTTCAGGTGTCCAATAGCGAAGTTACTCCTCGGTGACGCCTCAAGGAGATCCACCAGTCTAAAGACATTGACAAACATGTCACTGTCAAGTTTCATGACATAGGTAGCACGTGGACACATCTGGGCCGCCCATTTCAACCCCATCAACACCTTGTGCGTCATGTTTCGGTATGTGTCGGCGAAGTTCTCTTGGATGATATCACCGTAAAGAACACTCTCTTCCCAAATCAGTTTCCTTGTGTATATCTTCTTAGGAGACCGCGCGACCAGAAAGCGAGTTAGGAGGGTCTTGCCCTTATAGGCCTTGATCGAACCCCAGGTGTCTCTAATCCAGCGGCGGTCCCTTTCTTCCTCTGGTCGGCAGGCCACAAGGATCAACAAGAAGACCTCACCGCCAGGCACATACTGGCTACAATTCCCCGAGTTATTAATAAAATGGAATGGGTGCGGATTGATAACCCATTCACTGAATAAAGGGTTAGTCTGCTCAAGTTGCTGTCTCCTTGCGCTTTCGTTAGTATCCTCTTTTATGGAGGATTTGTCCTCCAATTTGTTGTCCAAGTTTGGCTTGGTTTCAGGCTCTTTTCTGGACTTCTTCTTTGGAATCATTCCTTCTTTTCTCCCTCCATCGCGATGGGATGGATTAGTACGATTTTGATTTTTGTCACGTAAATGCTGCACCGATGCTGATGAATTCAAAACAGTTTTCATCAGCGATTTTACGTCGGAGAGACGCCCACCTCCGTCCACTCGTTCTAATGTGACGTCATCAAATTCAAAGAGATTGAAATCATGGGTGTTGTCGATGAGATTTGTGGCGATTAAGAGAATGCACAGGATAGCAAACATGAACAAGATTTTCTTCTCATGAAGGGTGTGCATCCCCATTGTCCTCTGTAAGAATGTTGACTTCTTATGTCGTATTTGTCTGTAGGAGGAACATGAGGGACATTAGAATAAACCAATGAGATGTACAATTAAATCACTGCAATCTCTGCGCCACCGTTAAAATACCATAAGCTGTCCTTTCTTGTCGATGGAAATTATCCACAATCTTAAATATCTTCTGAAAGAGCACCAAACTCGAGTGTGATGTGCCCTACTTTTTCGGGTACACATATAGCAATCTTGTAACTCCACATCATCTCAATCGTGTAGAAAACCCACTTTAGACGTAAGCAATCTGCCAGCTATTGTTAAAACCTTACCTCTTTCATAAGAACCGGGCAAACCGCCGAAAAAACTTACCTTGAGTATGTCAGGCTAGAGTCTGAATAGTTGCATTTATGCAGGTATAAATTAGTCGTTCAAGCAGCGACTCTCTGGTCTGTTTGAAGGATTGTTAAAACTGTATTAAATTTGAGAATAGATTCCTATGTAAACCGTTCCAGCTGATTAGTGTAGCAGGAATGATTGTTGAAGGAGGCAGACGTTGTTTAACGTGTACGGAAGTAACAATCAATGCCAATATCGTTTGGACCATTAAGCTTTACACGCACACACAGGGGTTTGTTAAAATCATCGAATTTCAATCAATATGTGATAGAATGCTGCTCTAACAATGGCACCTTTATTACTAAGTTCAAACCAATATCTTTAGGCGTCAGCTGGTTCACTACTAAACAGTGGAACACGCTGTAGCGATCGACAACCGTAAAATAAAAGGTATCTGCACGTGTTTCATTCTGTAAAATAATTTTAACTCTTTATCATCAAAATCACGTAGGAAATAAAGATGTCCAGAGTAATTGTAAAAGCCGCAGTGTAGTAAACCTAATAAAAAGTCATCCTACCCGCATAGGCTTTTTTAGGTTTCAAACAGGGGTAAATCGAATTTTTTTGTCGAGTCCGGACTGGTGGAACAGATAAACTGTTCTCTAATTCTTGGGTCGACTGGGCTTTCTGCTTAGAATATAGGGCGCTGTACACTGATGACGGAAGCTCAACGTCAGAAAAAAACACCCAAATAACCTGTTTTTTTCTTTTTATTTTGTTTGCGACAGAGCTTAGTTCAATTTACGCATAGGAATAACTTAGTTTATTTTTGTGTAATTAATTTATTTTATTGTCTTGTCACTTAATTTTATCCTTCTTATTTCATTAAATTTTGGGACTTAAGGTTATCTTTCTTTTAACCAATCATTTTGTTATTTCAACAATGGTTCATTTATTTCGTATGTGTTTGTATGTTGATGCTTAGCTTGGAGCTTTGCCAAGGAAGGCCTTTTTCTTTTCCTGTCGTGCTGCAGCCTATTTTTGTTCTATGCTTGTCTTCTCCCTCTGTCCTGACAGAATTAATGGTACCGCTAATGGTACGCGCTGCTGCGTTCTGTTAATGAGATTTTGTGTTTCCTTTCATAAAAGCAAAGGTCACAAAACCAAACCAAGCTTCAAGTGATTTGGTTTTATTTCTCTGGGTACGAATTTCATTACCAGTTCCTGCCAGCATTATTTGCGACGCAAACATATTAACGGTCAGCCTTTACTTCACCTTACTTATTTATTGACATCTACCAGTCTCTGACCTTGCAAGGATATGCGAAAGGTTAGTCATGCGCTGAAATTAAAGGAAAGTGGATTTATTATAAACCTCAGACGGATAACACAAAGACATTTCTGTCCGTGTCGTTCAGGCGTGTCACCAAATATAGTGAGTATTGTAATGGTGTACCAAATCCAGTGTTCTTTCATCGTTTTTCACTATAATTGTCAGCAGAGGGCTTTGCTAGAAAAGCTCTTGAACTACTTGTGTGTATGATCGCGAGTCCCAGCGGTCACTGGATGAATACGAAGACCGGTGCACGCGAGCAATGAAGAGGAAATAGTACCCATTTGCGATTTGCGGAAAGTATTTCATGGCCGTATTTCTGTTTCTGAAAACGATCGCATTTGGACTCTATATTTTTCGTCATTGGATGGAAGTGGTTGTTTGATTATTATTCTCTTCAACAGTCAGATTAACAGAAGGTTGAAAGTGTTACAAGAATAGTTACTGCCATTAGGTTATATTGGCAAGTGTTTAATACGGAAGCGTATTGTTGTCAACGCGATCAATTATTTCATCTCGTATAAACAACTTGTTATATGTCGTTTTACGACTTATTATCTCGTTTAAACGATTTATCAAATGGCACTGCTATAATTAGAATAACGGGATAGCGATGTTGCATTTAAAAAGATAGCTATGTCGTTTAAACGAGAAAGCTAAGTACGAAATAAAATATTTTTTTGCGTTGGCAGCAATACGCTTCCGTAGTCTAAGGGCCTGCGTGTGATGGATGTTAACTTCCTGTTGCTGTTTTCCAGGAATGGATTGGACGACTGCGCTGCTTCGTGTCTTGGGCTGTTTCGGTGTGTTCTTTCCCATTACGAGGGAAGTCACTGGTACGAAGTTGGTTTGACTGGCTTTAGTTAGTTTCAGTAGCTTTATTTTCAACGCTCTACGTTTACGTAATAATTTTATTAAAGGTATTTGAAAACAACTACCTTTGAAAAACCCCGATACACATTGCTAACAAGCGTTTATTTCAATTCACGCAGGCCCTAAATTGATTCAGTTTGCGAGATAAATATACACAGAACCATTCCGTCCTTGTCCCATTTTTTGGAAAATATTACAGTGAAAGACTGTTTGAATGATTTCTTTCCTAATATTTTGATCTGCTAAGAGTATTCGTTTTAACAAGATTGTTTCACAGGACAGCACAGTGACAATAATAGCTGACAGTTCTGAAGAAGTTTCCCGTTTGCCATCAATTGTAGTCAGATGAAAGTGACATTATTAGACCATTGATTGGTTTCTATAGACGATTCCAAAGGATTCTTTTTAAGCCTTCTACGTATACATTCAGATCTTTTTGATCTGTGCGACTTGTCCTTCAGTTCCATGCACCGAACCAAGGACTTTTGCTTGCGGAGACGGCCTGTGTGTTCCCCAAGAATCAACTTGCAATGGTCCCGCTGATTGTTCGATCGCAACTGACGAGATTTTTTGCCGTAAGTGTGTTCTGGAATAATGACGAAAACAATAATGATTGACATTTATAAATCGGGTAAACATATCCAACATAAAGTTGCTGCAGACGGTTTGCACAAACAAGCAATTAAAAGACAGAATTTATAGGAAAAGGAGGACAAACTGAAAGGAATAAAAGCAGACAACTACCAAAAAAATTGTAAAAACAAGAGTGGTTGATTGAAGGCTAAAGACATGAGAGGAGCTTTGAGAGATGCTTTAAAGATGTGGATGGTTTGTGAATACGGGCAATTCACAATAGCGCGCCACCGAGATTTTGCAACACGTTGGCCAATCATAACGCGCAAAATTTGTCGACGCTCTTCAAACGCGTATTGGGTCGACAAATTTCGCGCACTGTGATTGGCCGACGCGATGTAAACTCTCGGTGGCGCGCTATCGTGAAACGGCCGTATTTCTGACGTGAAAGTAATCGGTCATTATTTATCAAATATTAGCACCAAAGGAAACAACATTTCGTTTGTTTCTCCCCCAACATATCTTGTTGAATGAGCCCGAAGCTGCGTTCGCTACTGAATTTGCCCCCCACAAACACACACACTTCAAAAGCTAGATTCGCTGCTGAGAAAGCATATCCCTGATGGATGACGGAACTGTATAAACCAACAACGTCACTAACTACTTACTGTAGTGAAGAGTTGAGACTCCAAACAAACTCGCTCCGTCATCACTGCTGCTATATGCAGTACCTTGATCCATTTCATGTCAAATTAATAGGAATTGTAGTTTCATTAAAGTCCCTTTTTCAGTTTTTCGAATTGGCCAGGACCCGTTATTTCTAAATGAAGCTAACCAATGTATTTCTAAAGGCCGGTTCAACCTGCAGGCGAATACAAAAGCGAAGCCAATTCGACGTCACGAAAAACTGAGAGTGAAATTTCGCTTGAGTTGAAATGTGTTCAAGTTTTACGAATTCACAACGTCAATAGTTTCATCTGACCTCACAAATTTACGTTCGTGTTCGCTTCGTGTGAAGTGCGAATCGGCCATTCCTTTTTGAGGCAAAATATGTGACCCCTTGCAAAGAAGAGTTTATTATCATTATTAATGACTTGGTCGTTCCCTGTGTTTCTTCTCTGCAGCCTCATCAAATTTGCCAGGTTTATTCAAATGCAAATATGTTGTTGGCGAGTTCTACTTACCTCGTGATACCCGGTGTTCCGGCACGGTGGATTGCCCAGGTGGTTCTGACGAACTCGGTTGCGGTAATTGTTTTTAATTTTAAATGCTAAACTTATCAGTCGCTGAAACAACTTTAGAAATAAAGGATGCTGACAAGAATATAATATAAAATCAGTGCTCTGAAACAGTAATTGCCAAGCTTTCGGTAACTGAGTATCTTCTTCAGGGCAAGCAAAATTGAATCTACTTGCCCTGAAGAAGATACTCAGTTACCGAAAGCTTGGCAATAAACATGTTTCAAAGCACTGATTTCAGATTATATTCTTATCATTATTCTGATTACGGTACTACACAGCCCTTCCATATTTCTTAGAAATAAAGGAGTTCGATTGCCCCCCTCAGGCCTTCAACTTTGACCTTTGGGTGGTGGTTTTTTTTATCGTTTTGAATGTTATGCCATTTCAGGACCACCTTTCCGATGCAGAGCGGACCAGTTCCACTGCCGTATGGACGACTCGTGCAGAGACTACAGAGAAATATGTGATGGTGTACACACCTGCTCGGGATTCGATCAGTCTTTCTGTGGTAATTAAGCCAAGGCCCCATTCTTGAAAGCTACAGTCTGAAGTATCAGATGTATCCTAAAATTTTCTGGTATGCTCAACGGATCCAGCGTCGTGATTTGGGGGGGGGTGGGGGAAACAGCATAGATTAAACTAGATTCTTTAATGACCAACTGAAAAGTATCCTTTCAGTGTCAGTTAGTAGGGTCAGCATGTTTGGTTTAGGTAGCATTTCTTCGTTTGGAATGGAAAGAACGTTTTCATTGCTAAACTGGTGGGCCGTTCTCTCTGATGCATGAGCGTTCCAGTGCAACTACTGCTCCAGTGGATGGGAGTCGGGCAAACGAAACTTGAACTTGTTCCCCGACTTCTGAGACGGACGCTCCGTTAGGAACGCGGTATAATGTCAAAACACCAGTTGTCAGGAAGTGTTCGTTTACTTAGTTTTTCCTCTCTCTTCTTCCAGATTCGGATTTTGTCTGCGATAGAACCGAATACGAGCTACACCCTCAGGAAAAAACTTTCTTTGAGCACGCGCCATCATATCTTCTCTACCCGGCTGGCTTTTACCGGTGTTCCTGGTTGTTCACAAGCTATGAGACCGCCTATATATTTATTGAAATAGTGACGTTAAATGTTCCACCCCACGGGAAGTTCGTTGTGTCGGGTGGGGTTGGACAGGATCCGACGGTGGCTGAGAGTGTGATTTTTATCACTGATGTCCCCTCTGGGGGCGGAATAGTGTTCATAGGACGTCCAACTACTACGGCCTGGGTGACAGTGCGATCAAGCAGGTTCCTACTTTCATCACACGAATCGCCGGTATACTTTGAGCCTTCTTTTGCTATGGAAATCTACCAACAGGAAGAAAGTAAGTGTCTCCCACGCCAGTGTCACATAATAATGAAAGTGCTCACAGGGAATGTAATTTGTTTAATAATACTGTGTTTATATTTTTTATCAAAGCTACAATGATCTTGGTATTTCCGATACAGTTTATTCGTCACAGTTTTATGGAAATGTTTTCTGCAGTAATGAAGAGTTTCATCAACGCCATAACTCATTAGAAATTGCTGCTTTCTAATTCTGATATAATACATATACCATAACTCCGTAAATGATTTTCCTTACTCGGCACAAGCCATGCTCTATGAAATCGACAAATTCAGGGATGTAGAAGAGATTTGGTATATCTCCACATAGGCCTATAGGCAAGCTTTTCCTCAGCCCTGTAATGGAAGTATGCATGTTTCTGATAAGTGGTTATGCCTCTAATTGTCCTGCATATTCAACAGGGATTTGTCCTGATGGATTGATTAGCTGTGGAAATCAGTTGGAGTTAACTGTCTGCATCACCAGGTCTAGGTTGTGTGATGGCAAGTTTGACTGTCCAGATTACTGGGACGAAAGCCAGTGTAACAATAATTACTCAGGTAAACGCATCTGCTTTGAATACCTTCCAAGACAGTTTCTGATAGGGAAAATGACACCGTTAAATGCTTCCAAAACGTCGCCACTGTAGGCCCCTATATTCTTTTGTATTGGTAAACAGTATGAACAATTATGAACGATTAAATATGGTGGGTATAATTCGTTACTGAAATACACAGATTTGCAACAACGTGTGCGGCAGTGCATCAATCAATGCAACCATTTATCTCCGTTGCGTTTTCCTGCACCATTTGCGTGATACAAACATATCACATGCAATCACAAACAACAACGTGATGGCAGATCGAGAAACATGCTACGCACGTAAAGACCAAGCACTGTCAATACCGAGACTGTAAGTGGTTGAGAGGCATACCATTGTGGAAACCAGAACTGACATCCTAGGTCAAAGACAAGATTATGAGGGTACTACTGCAGTACATTGCAGACTATCACACGTCCTTCGTTCAACTGAGCTGATGATGTCAGTTAAGGTGACGTGTCACGGTCCACAACTTAGACCTCCTGCTACGTAGTACCTGCATAAATCGAGTGCGTGATCAAGAATTTCAGTTTAGATCATGACACAGAATTCTGAAGAACAAAAACGCAGTTTAAAACCGGGCATCGATCGCTTCTGAAAATGGAACGTGTTAATTGACATGGACTGAGACATGTTGAAATTCAGGCAAGCCACGCGTGTCCAGCGGCGTAGCAATCGGGGGGAGGGGGTGTTGGGGTGTTGACCCCCCCCCCAATAATTTTGAGTTGGCAAATGAAGGGTCAGTCGGCAAATGAAACTGAAATTGACGTCATGAATTATTGACGTACATCGACCAGTCAGTCGGCAAATTGACCCTGGCACACACCCCAAACAAAATGCCTTCGCTACGCCGCTGCTGGTGTCCCCCACTTGTCCAACAAGATACTCCCATAGTTTCAGATAAAAACTGCACGGGTTAGTAATTGAAAATGGTGGATAAGATCATACACGAACCACGAATATTAAAAACATCTCTAGTGGGATAACTCACTGTACAAAGGATACGAAATGCACGGTGCAATGAGCTATTAAGCCAGTTGAGTATTCCAATAGTGCTTGCCCAGAATGAAGCGCGTCTGAGCTCATTCGAACCCTCGTGTGAGATCTGCCCAATCAGTAAGCTCCTTTAATTGAAGACAAGTCGCGCCTGTGCTTTGCTCCCGAGTGACCCTGCCTTTTGAAATACCGAAAAGGCTCGTTGTTTGGATACCAAGACACCCTATAATTATAGTTATCAAAAAGCGCAGTTACGTTGTTAATTGTTCTTATTCACTAATGATACAGCAGTGTGTGGCTATCAACAGCACCAATCCTTGGATACTAAGGAGACGAGGGATTTTCAAGTCTTTTTTCCCCAGTTGGCCTTCGACTGTTTGTTTTTCGTCGCTACACCGCCTCAATCTCGTGTTGAGATCAAGGCTACGAGATTTCCTGCTGATGATGCAACCTTGACCTTTGGCACAATGAGCGACAATGGCACTCTTGATTTGTCAGCGTCATTTCTGACGCTCAGTAGTGCTAAATGGGTCGTGCCTTCGTCGTATTCACCAGCCGCTGGAATGTCACTATGGGTCACAGCAAGTTGGCATTCCTTCCAGACTACTACACTCGACGGCATTTCCTTCACCTTAAGGACATTCAACGAGACGGGTAAGCCATACATAACGTACGAATAGCAACCTCGATCTCACCCTCAACATAAGCTGGTCCAAAAGGTAAAAACAATGCATGACACTACCCAAACTTGATATTTCCACGCAGAATGCAAGCCAGATGAGTATACATGCTACGGCTCCGAAGTTTGTCTCCCTATGAGCCAGCGATGTGACGGAATCCCACAATGCCCTGCGCTGGATGACGAGAGAGGATGCAGTAAGTAAAGGCAGTCATAAGTCCGTTATGTCAGAAACACCGTTTGCCACAATGATTTCGGTGCCGATTTTGACGTCAAAGATTGGTTTCTGACAGCTTATTGAACTTTCATCGGAATTCCACGATACGAGGTTTTGGAAAGTCGGGTTGCTGTGCACTTGCCAAACGTTCAACGGATTAGGTTTCTTTAGGACTTTTTTTAACGTGGGTGATTTTGTTTCTACAACGCCAGTAGTTAAAATTTTATTTTATGCACTGCAACAAATATTGAAGTTACTTTTTGTATGTTGTTGGAATCAGTTTTTTCAGTGTCGTGCTAAAATATGCTAACATGCTGTTTCATCACAGATGGGTGTAAAAATGATGTCTTTACCTGTGATGGCCAGAGATGTGTGGACGAAAGTCTGCTGTGTAATGGATTTGCGCAATGCCAAGACATGATGGACGAGTACCTTTGTGGTATGAATACACTGACTCACATCATTGGACGTGATAACATTGATGGTTCATGATATGGAAACTGATGGGACACTATTAGTTTATTGATATTAAATATATTTATCAATATAAAAGACATGCATCATTATGAAAGATTACTAGAATACGGGCGATTCACAATCTGGCGCGCCACCAGGTGTTTGCTACAGTCAGGCCATTTCTCAATTTTAATTACTGTCGACACGCCGCCGCGATTGGGCGCACTAGGTACGTAATTTGGAGGTGTTTGATTGATTGATGCGTTCCCTACACCACACAAAACCATCATTTAGACTACCTAGCACCCTTTTGCGTGTTGAATAAAAATTCAGAAAAATTCAAGTTTTCTGCGCACAGCGCAGTGAGTTAGGCCTAATGAGGCTTTGTCGACTATTTATCCCATAATGCACTGCGAAAAGGCCTCTTCATGACAACCTCTTGGCAACCTCTCAATTCGATTAAAACATATCTACTTGTAAATCTACAAACCTGTTTTTAAACTTGTTCTTTCACATGTATATAAAAACATTGCGAAATGTTTAGCATTATCCTGCCTTGGAATGTCGAGAACCTTGTATTACTTGAAACAGAGTTAATTTTTAGGTGTTGTAGGAATCATTGATTGGTCCCCAGGTGATTAGCCATTAAAACCGTTTTTGATTGTTGGGTTGTTTGTTTGTTGGGGTGTTGGGTTGTTTGTTTTTTGTTTCTTTTTGTTGTTGTTTTTGGTAGGACACTGTGTAGACACGCCAGGGATAGACCTTTCCGATGGATCACGTCATCATATATCCTACAGCCCTTACAGCAGCCACCCAGGGGACTGCCTGTTTCTCCTGACGGCAAGAGCTGATCACCGGATAACTGTTCGACTACGGAGTATACCACAGTCACATCTTAAATATCCCAATCTGTATATCGCTATGGGTGAAGGTCATGACATCTTGAACCAGTCCACGATGGTACACAACATCGACTTCTCCCACTCTGACGTGATACCTTATCGGGAAGCTGTGACGTCAGTAGGATCCTTAATGTGGATCAAATACAAATTTGAAGCTCCACCAAATGATCAATTGAAAACCTTGGAATCGCAGACAATCCACTTGGAACTAATGCACACCAGGAGAGCAGGTAATTCATTATTTTGAACGTTTTGTGAAAGGTTATATTTTTCACGTTATCACATAAAGTGTGGAATGTGTTCAAACTTCCAAGTGGAACGAAAGTAATGGGAACTTTGCACAAAAAGTTTAAAACCCTCCAAGGTGAGAGCTTGTGGCCAAAAAACATCCGAAATCACGTGATCTAATTTTTAAGAATCTCCAAATGTCTTATTCTTTACTTTGTTAATACAGGATGTCCGGGTGGTGGACGCGCATGCAGTTCAGAAGAATGCATCAGCGAAGCGTATGCTTGTGATAGTTATATCGATTGCTTAGACTACAGTGACGAAATTGGATGTGGTAAATTGCTTCTGCGATGCTACGATAGCTTACAATTGAAAAAGTAAAACAAAAGACCACACCGTAAAAGTTCCTTTCAAAACGGCGTCCGATAAAACACGTGTTTCTCTTTCGTTGTGTATCGGCAGGTGCTTGCTCTGACAACGAATTCCTTTGTCTTTCTGAAAGTAAATGCATTCATGTGACGAGTTTATGTGACACAGTGTTGGACTGCTCAGACGGATCAGACGAGTCAATGTGTGGTAGGTGTCAGGAAACACCGTAGACCGCGTTTTTTTCTATTGCTCTTGAAATTGATCCCGTGTAATATAAGAAGCTATACTATCAGTGTCTAGTCGTGCCTGATCAACTGAAACATTATTTCAATGTATGTATGGGGAGTTAACAGTTTTCACGATTTGTTTCTCTTGCTTATGTCACTAGGTCCGTGCGGACGAAACTTGATTGACCTTTCAAAGCAGACGGCTCGTGAATCGGGACAATTCTACATCGTGTCTTCTCCATTTTACCCACGGCCACCCCCTGAAAACTTCGAGTGCTCTTGGAGGGTAATAGCGCCCCCAGGAACTCGGGCCTTGGCAAGAATCGAGACACTTCACCTGGGGACAAGTAGACTGAATTTTGGCTGGGGTATGAACCCGACCAGCGTGAACTCCTCGATTGGGCCTGAACTCAGTGGCCAAGACATCCCTTTAGTCCTAATTGCCTCTAGAAACAAACACCTGTGGATAAATTTCCTTTCCAAATGGGGAGAAACAAGCAACGGATTCTCCATTAGTATTACGCACAGGAGAACAGGTAGCGTAGTTTTGAATTTTTTCTTCATTTTCTCTCATATTATATGCAGGTGACAGTCTTATTCAACAAGAAAGTAATGTCTTACATAAAATTCCACTCAGTGCAACGTCTCCCATATACTGCCTTTCCATCGGTGATATAATAATAACAAAAATATAACTTTCCAAAGTTAAATCTGTCTTTAATATTCTAGTTCAGGGCGACATTAGATTCGTTATCCACCTTGAGCAGAAGCACCGTCTCATCTGTGGAAAGGTCCATACTGGTCGGGAGTGTTCATTTTGTTGGTAGCGACCGGCACCGAATACATGCATCTCATAGTCGTTCGTGAACCGGCGAAGGGCAAAGAGAAGTTCCTATCAAAGGAGCCTCCGTTTCTAGGAAAATCGCGCCCTCTCTTGGTGCAGCTCGGGGGCATTATGTAGGGGCTATAAAGCAACAGGTCCGATCCTGTCATGGAAGTCACCATTGGCAATGTAGTCTGTGAAAGAGGGCAACAGCGCTTTCACCCTCCAGCACCACCATTCTGCGAAATTTAATATATTATGATGTATGAACATTTAAAATACTAAAAATGGACATATTTATTCCCGTTGATCACCTCTTTTGTTGCAGATAGTCAACAATAACTACACCACTCGTTTTCTTTCTTTAACAAGAACCATTCGTCGTGTTTTCATTAACTCCAGTTAGCTGTAACGAAGGCCAGACGATGTGTGGAGAGCCTGATACGATATGTCTAACACAAAGTGCAAGTGACTATCAACTGTCCTACCTGTGTGGATTGGGTAAGTGGATTAACATTTCAATGGTCAATATTCACCTGTACGATGATGACCATGGATGACCAGTCGTGTGCTTTTACAAGCGGTAATGAAGGCAAAGGTGCGATTTATTGTAAATTCTTTGTTTTCTTCACCATCCCCATCAGATGTCTGTGGTGAGCGGAATATCTACCTGGAGCCTGACCTTCCCTACACCCTCACATCTCCTAATTACCCTCAGAAATATCCTAATGATCTGAGGTGCCATTGGGAATTTCAAGCTTCTGGTGGATTCATTGTCATCCGCATCCTGGATTTCACGACTGAGAATTCATACGACGATGTGACCATTGCAGGTCCAGGATTAGAGCTCGGGGATGTTGCTGAAAATCCGGGAAACCTATTGCGTATTACCGGAACAACAACTATTTCCACGGTATTTGCACTGCTTCCCATCATCAACGTAACATTGAAGACGGACACATCAATTGCAAAAAGGGGTTTCCAAATGGAGGTCGAGGTATTTGATATTTGTAAGTATTTGAGGAATTTTTGCATTCGTATAAACAACCTCTGTTCTGACAAAACCATCTGGCGGAGACTTCAGAAAAACCCTTAAATTTTCAGACTTCTTAAAAGCAGGATATTGATAACTCCGTATTGATACCTCTTGATTACAAGTGAAACACGTTCCAGGTTGAAGTTAATGTCAGCCATTTATTACAACCTATCATCAGAAAAGATAACGATTATTGCGCCATTCTGCCACAGGCCTGGAAATGTTGGTCTCCAAAATATAACTGTCTAACTTTTGTTCATCAACTTAGCAATTCTTCCAATAATGTCGAAATGCAATATCAGTCATTTCTGTGCAACATTTCCTAAACCCAGTATTTCAGTATTTTGTTCACTCGGATATTTCCTAGCATCACCGAGCGAGTGTTCAGGGGAACTTGATCTCCTATGTGAGAATTCAACCTTCTGCGTTACACCCGAAGCCGTTTGTAATGGCTTCAAGGACTGTCCCTACGGATTTGATGAACAACGATGCTGTAAGTATATTCTATAATTGGATTGAGTTCAACCTCTGCACGAGGTGTATAAAAAGACCACATATTTTGATTTTGGACTTAGTGAACATTTTACGTAATTCTTTTGAATGTTTATTGCCATGCCTTAAGAAAATGTGAGCTTACAGATATAGAGCAGGTCAGATATCAGCTGGGCCTTTCGAAGATATCCCCCTTGACAGGTAGCAGCCCTGCAAAGAGCCATGTTGGTCGGGAGTATTCATTTTGCTGGTAGCGATGCGACTTTGACGCATGCATTTCATAGTCGTGTGTGAACCAGCGAAATGCAGTTCCGAAGGACCGTCCTTTGCAATGGAACATTGCGCCGTCCTTTCGTGGTCTAGATCGGGGCAGATAGGCAATGTTACAATGTTGTAGACTAATCGTTTGTTTTTCTGTGATTTTTTGTTTAGACACAGTTAGTTGTCCGGCATTTTTCCAGTGCAGTAGAAGCAAAGAGTGTATTTTGTGGGAGGAGGTCTGTGATGGCACCGCCCATTGCTTACTTGGAGATGATGAAATCAATTGTGGTAAGTGCCAGATGATCACGCATGGTCAGGATGGCGGAGCTTCATTTCCGACTAACATACATATGGACTGATCGCTTAACCTAACTTTCGTCCGGCAAACATAGAGTAGGCCCTGTGTTCATAGTAAGTCCAACGAAAACTCGGAAAGGCTAGAAATAGAGCTTGGTTGCTGTTGTCTCGTTACAGATGTGAACCGTTGCCCTGACGAGTGTAGCTGCTATTACAAAGGTGACGCCCTCTATGTCAGCTGTCGATCAGGATGGACAAGTGGTACACTAAATGAAATGGCTGCCACTACCGATGTGCTGTAAGTCTTTCGCATAACCTATGATTTGTTGGTAACACAGATTCAGCAGTAATTGGCCTAAAGGTATTTGTAGGTATACCTTACCCAGCTTTGAAGACGCCACTTGATTTTAACGTGTTTAGACATCATTAAGTAAATAATTAACCTAATTTCTTGGGCCGGTTACGCGTTTCCAAAGCACAATCCCTTACACGTATGACAAGCTTGTTTCAATTGAAAAAGGAAGACGTTTTCGCTTGTGTTCTTTCTTCAAGTTCCTTAATCGATTGCACACCCCAGTACATCACTCATTTCAAGCTTTGTTTGTTTATCCAAGGGAGCTAACTGGTGGATCTGTCAGCTCACTGGAATCAGGCCATTTTAAACGGTTTTTCAAGCTTCAAGCATTGTAAGTGAGGAAAATAGTTACAGACGTGTTCAAGAAACCACGACAAAGAAACTAAGTAGGGAAATATTTAGGTCCAAAAGGCATATCATCCTTATTAGAGCCATTGCATGATGTAATGGGTCTCCAAAGTATTACGCAATATCACTTTTAAGGGCAACATCTCTTTACAAATAATGTACGATTGAAATCTATCTTTGCCCACAAAGGTTACATTTGTCAAGGTAACAACCGAGGGCGTAATTCATCGTAAAAGTTACAACTGTTTCGAAATATTTCATTTCAGAGCTCATATCCTCGAGCGTAGATGCAGCCTATTTTTGGCTAAGACCAAGTCTGTGTACCATCGCAAAAAAAATCAGTTTTCATTGCAACGCATATAGGAATTTTGGAGTTTGTATTTATTATCCAAGAAACGAAAACTAAATGATTATACAGCAAAAGAGAATATGCGATTACTGTGCGTCACTGTCAAACGTAGTTTTTGTAAGATGATTGTCACTTATGTCAAATGATTTAATCGCAAGATTACTAACGAAACTAATGGTAACAATGCAACTGTCAGCATTCAAGTGCAAATCAATTTATATCTTGTCCGATTTTGCCCTGAGCAATTAATATTTCTTTTGTTTTCTTTTCTCATTTCACAGGTACCTTGCGGACAACCATATAGAAAATATACCACCGCTGTCTTTTGACGGATTACAGAAACTTCTTTGGTTGTAGGTTTCAATCGTAAAATGGCAAACACCTTATATCTATCTTATACCCCTGGTTATATTTCCGATGTAAATTGTTATTGGGCATCTTACTTTTAAATCCCAGTCATTCTGTTGACTAAATGGTATTGCATTGGAGTCACGAGCGTTCTTGAACGCGACACGTCGTGCCTTTGGCAAACAACGAGATCTTATTGGTCGAGCAGGCATGTAATGCGCGCGTATGACCTGTCCACGAGCGTTGTGACACCTTAGTAATGGCTTCTCATTTCGCTCATTCGATCACAGATGGAAGAAACAAACGTATTTTACTGAACGAAATTAAATGTAGCCCTTAGTAATGTTTCAGAATTTCAGTAAGGTACAGTTGCATTAAATTACCGAACGAAGTTTATGATATCGACCAAAGTTTCTTGTTATGAGTATTAGTCGGTTTAAGAGACGTACCATCCTGGTGCACGCGTTATATCTATATCATTAGGATATATCTACATCAGTCCTCATTTACTGAATGCACATTGGTCTTGATTTTGTTCTTCCAATTGTCAGGAATATTTCACAGAATGACGTCACTTCGTTACAAGAAGATGCCTTCAAAGAGCTGGGAATGTTACAGGGACTGTAAGTGCCATCATTTATTGTATCCAGTCGATATGTAGCAAAGGGGGACCCCCAAATGTGACGCACAAGCTGCACATACCCTAAGGTTCTTTTGCCTACTGCACCCCTCTGGAAATCTTAAAGAAATTCCAAAGATTCTATCAGGTGTCAACACAAAAGAAGACACATCATGCATTAAAATGTCGTTTATCACTCACCATGCTATTGTTTCCTGTAGTGGGCTAAAAGATGATCTTTGACAACGGAGGCTGATGAATAACGCAACGGTATTTTTCTTTTTGCGACGGCAACAATCCGAACGATACAATGGACACTTATAAATCCCACCAGAAGCAAACACAAACCGATTTGTGCCTTGCTTCCCAATTCTCCCAACTGACAGTCCTGGGTTCACTCTAATCAAAGGGCCAAATTTTTCCACCAGTCACGTGTAATTGCACCATTATTCAACTAATGGATTCGAGATCCCCACCATTTGTATGGTGTGTGAAACATCGATCGTCAAATAAGACTGGCTTTCCTTACGATTGCAGTGTCATATCAAACGTTCCGGTGGCAAGTATTGAGGAATCAGCATTCAGTGGACTAAAGGAACTCCAAACGTTGTGAGTAGTACCCATTGAAGGTGGTAATACAGCCACCGTTTCCCGCCATGGGGAAATGATTTTTTAAAAGGGGCTAATCTTCATGCCTTGTCTTCCCCTGTTGAAATGTCGGATTTTACTTCGCTGTGAGAAAAAATTAGAAATCCTCCATAAAAAGATCCATAGCCGCGATCATAGCCTTTATTAAAGTTGGGTTCCCCGAGTGAAGTGCCTAAGAAATTTGCTTCCTGGATACCAATGGTACACTTGCTAGTACTTGCTTCCTGCTGGGTAAGACATTATAGGCATTTAATGCTTTGAATGTTAACGTGTAGTCCGTGTTAAACGTGCATCATCAGGTCTTAAGTCTTCATAAAAGTCGTACCAGCTTTATTGATGCGTCGTGTAAATTGCAAGAAGTTCCCAAAGAATGACTCGGACATATCTTGTGTTTCAAAAAAATTCCCCACAGTTGCATTAGTAAGCCCTTTTCATGCCGTTAGCGCTTATTTTCACCAAATCATTCACCGGTATTCACAATTTCAAAGTTGATGCAAAGTGTTCCATTGACTCCTGGTTCCTCTTTGTCCTAGGGTGCTGATTCGGGGAAAGCACCCGCAGGCACAGGATAAGCCAATTGATATCCACCCTAAAGCTGTCCTGGACCTAACCAAGCTTCAAACATTGTAAGAAATGGACTTTTTGGTGTCAAACGCAATGAAAAACCAATACCTTTGTATGTCTGAAATGTATTTTAACGGAGAAGTACGAAGTTTTACTTTGATAATGGATCACTTGTCTTGCATCTAATTAGATATCTGGATGACTACCGTTTGTGCTGCGAATTCAACAAACTGGAATCATTCGACCCAGCTAACTGTTTCACTACTGAACAGCAATCGCCTCTCTTCAACTGTGGAAGTCTCATGCAGAACACATTCCTCCGAGCCTCCATGTGGTTCCTTGGACTGAGCGCCCTGATTGGTAACTTTGGGGTGGTAATTTGGCGATATTGGACATCAATGAAGACGAACCTCGGTCGGGGCACCAAATACGTCCATAACTTTCTCGTCCTGAACTTGGCTGTCTCCGACTTTCTCATGGGGATCTACATGGTAATAATTGCCACAGCAGATGTCACCTTCGGGGAATTGTATTACACAGTCGCGTCAACCTGGAGGCTTAGTGCCATCTGTAAGATTGCTGGCATCATTTCGGTTTTATCCAGCGAGGCAAGTGTGTTCTTCATCACACTCATCAGTGTAGATCGGTTCTTGTGTGTTGTTTTTCCTCATGGTAGTGTTCGATTGGTCAGGCCAACTGCTCGAGGAGCTGCTGTAATAATTTGGTTTTTGGCTTTCATTCTCAGTAGCCTTCCTACCATTTTGATTGGCTCGGACGTAGATTCAGATGTTTATGGTCTGTCCGATGTCTGCATCGGCCTTCCACTCATCACCAAACCCGACAGCTACAAACTGAAGGAGGGCGACGTCAGTAACCCATTTGGTAGTCAAAGTTTCAAGATTCCTGTGGCGCAAGACCACAGGCCGGCTTGGGTGTACTCCATCGTTCTCTTTCTGGGCGTTAACTTGCTCTGTTTCCTTGTTGTTGCCCTCTGTTATCTTATCATCTTCATAAAGGTCAGGCAATCCTATCAACGAGTAAAGGGTTCGCGAATCCGGGGCTCGGGTACTCTTCATCAATCCAACAAAGAGGAGATGAACATGGCGCTCCGGATGGCTGTCATCGTGGGGACTGATTTCTGTTGTTGGATGCCTGTTATCATCATGGGTCTTCTCTCACAGACTGGTGCCGTCACTATTCAGCCTCACATGTACGCCTGGACTGTAGTCTTTGTTCTTCCCATCAACTCATCAATTAATCCATACCTCTACACAATCTTCAGTGTCATTTCGGCCCGAATCTCGACCAATGACAGCCATAGTTCCGCGAAAGCCACTAGGCTCAGCGAACCAACGCCGAAAACCAAGGATGACATCGTGACCTGCGCCTCTGCAGATTCCTGTCCTGAGAGTGACACACATTTGTGATTTCCCACTGAAAGATTACGCAAGAATCCTCTCCAGTGCTGATTTGCTTCCTCTATTGAAAATCAATTGCAGATCAAAATTACGTATTGCTTACCGTTGGCACAAACTCGCTCAGATGGTAGACTTACGTTGGAATTCAAAGACAACCCCGATCCTTTGAATAGATCTTCGGCTCCAGGATATGATCCTTATTCCTACTGTCCTTAATTACTGCTAATTAATGAGATGTCTCTCAACGTCTCCTTAATTAGCAGGGAAAAACTCTGCTGTTATTAGCAAGAGACTTAGGTTTTAGGTTTATTCTAAAAAGTTATTCAGATTTAGGTTTATTCTAAAACGTTACTGTAACTTGCCATTAGATTTCGTAATTTACTGGAGCAAACAAAATGGATTTACGTTGCTCATCCCAGTTCTGTGACAAAGGATACTTTTCAAAAGCCACCTGCGTTTCGTATTTGCCTCCTTTTCTCCAGTAATTCGTGTATTTCAATAAGCCTATCTAAGGGCTTTGCATGTCTCTTGTTTTTTTTGTATTCAAACTCCCGGGTTATTTACTCAGCGTTGCATATGTATAGTTCAATAGGCATCCACGTGGTTATTTTTATGTTGTACACATACGTAAAACCCTCGTATGAGTGGGGTCTGGTAGCTTCAATGGGTTGACTCGGGTTAGGTCGTAAATCCACAGTCTCGCCTCCCTTGTTTGACACGCAGCACTTAAAATTCAGCTTAGGTCTCGACTGCACCCAATAGTGGGCCTGTAGAGAAATGATTTACTTTGGCGTAGTTGGGGGCAGGTTTTGCGTCGCTGTGCATGTGTTACGTTCTTTATGGTGAAGTCACGCTACGGGTCAGTAATAAGCGAAACTCGCCTGATGTTGTATCATTCGTTTCCACCATCCGTCAGGTTCATACTTTTATTGTAAGTTATGTATTGCTTTTTCAGATTAGTTACATTTTTGACAAGCATTCTTGACTTTCCTTTTTGGCATTTGGTGTGGACCACAATTAAAGCGCATTAAATAGCATTTGTGCTACACGTTATGATAGTGCTATTTGGAGAAAGTGCTGGAGTATTTCATGATATTGTTGTAATATTTGTGCAACCGGAGTCCCGTGCGAAAATTGGCAAACGTCCTGTGTTGGCTTGCGGTACAATTGAGATATTTTTCAGTACTTCTATGTGTTTTGCAACTAAGATGGATCATTGTACGGTATAGTTGTATCCAGTAGTTCTTTTGGCTAATATAAATCTAAACCAGCAGGTGCTGTTTATCATGCAACTCCGAATGCGTTCCAACATATCTTATATGACCTGTTCTAGTTAATATTCGCGTGTCAGTGTTCGAGTATTATTTTACATTTACATATCCATTTTTGTCAATCCTTGCCTCGGGGTAAAATAGTACACAGTTGTTATTAGCGTTTATGAAGGTGTTTTCAAAGAGAAAATCTTATTTTAATTACGTCCAAGCAATACATTCGTGTTACATGCAAATACATTCCGGAGAAATTTAATCAGTGTTGAATTACCTTGAACACAAGACTGGATGATTCAATACAAATTAATAATGTATCAAGCATTGACAAAACGGCAGCGGGGTGGTTCGTGCACGCGACTAAATTCACGCTCCTGTAAATCTGACAGCCAAGCTCACATCAATTAAATGGATGAATTTAAAGTTAATGTACCTTTTATTTAGCTTTCTGTTGTCGCAAATAACCTACAGTTTCTGCTACCTACCCTGACCACACTGCTCGTGTGGGCGGGTATAAATGATGGGTGGGAGGTGATCTAAAACACCCCATCTCAGAACCGTGACACCTGTCACCGTCATTGCCACATCAAAATCAACTTCCTGAGCGACAAATATAAGCAAATGGATCACGTGATAACTACTGAAGCTGCGAATGAAATTTACCTCGGGGCGAAACAGAATGATTCTCAAACACAAGTTCACATCAGTCATGTGTTTGTTTTCATCGTGTTCAGTGAATTGTTTACTGAGAGCTATTTGGTACAGTTGTTCGGTATTGTAGGGATTTTTCCTGGGACTCAGCCGGGCAAATCACTGTTTTAAAAGTTATTCTTTGGTTGTATTATCTTATTCGAGTTTGTTTCCACACATTCCATACAAAACAGCTTCTCCTATGGTGGAATGGGCGTGCCCTTGCAAGCATTTGTCTGTCCTACGCCAAGACTTCAATTTGATGTAAAGACGGCTTGCCCACGCGCCCTTTTCAATGCTCCGTATCTTCACACACGCCCTCTATAGTCCAGTTGGGGACCGTCCCGCGGATCATGGATGTGGGCAGACTAGACAACGTGCACTGACAGGGCCCTGGAAATTGTCAACGTAGAGCCAAGGTGATTTCTTTAACTAAGGGCTACTTTTCTTAGCCATTTACCAAGTGTTTTTGTCTGCACTAATTTGTATTTAGTCTGAAGTGTGAGTTTGGCGGCATTGTTTACTCTGAGGACCCAGTAATTTACTTTGGTCTTACTCGACCTCTTGGCATCTTTTTCAAACTTGCAACTCTCGCAATGCAAGACGTTACCTACAGAGGGCGCGGTTTCCCCGATTGCCGGGCCCCAAGCAAGGGTCCTCGGTCCTCAATTTTCGTCTGCCATTTCAAGATTTCCTTTATCATATCCACACATTTACTCATATAAATAACTACCATAACAAAGTCTTGTGTGCGTCAAAACTTCAAACACAGGAACGTTCAACATCAGGGCTTATTTTATCAGGGAAAATAATTATATTCCACCTCTCTGAGTGTGGTTGGGGACGTGACTGACAACTGATGCAGGGATGGCACAACGATTGTCATGTCATCAACTGACGTACTTGACTGGTCAACTATTTGGTTTCTTTTTTAATTTCTGGCCAGATCATGCAACTCCACAACTTGGCTGAGTTGAGTCACCATGGCAGCTCTAAGGATCATGGTAAAAACAATTCTAACCAGAGGGGCACTTACTTCATACCAAACAGCTGTCACAAATTACCAAGTTCTTCCAAGGGCCTTCCGTCATACTTGTCAAGGTAGAACTTATGTTTCTTTGAGACCCAACAGAACAGGTGGAAGGTTCCATTCTCGCGCATCAGCAAAAGTTCAGTTCTTGCATGTGAAACTTACACAAGCATTGTTCCCAAGGTCATCGTATCGAACGGCTCATTGCCTCTACCGCAAGCACAAAAAAGCAAAAGGGCACCAGACTACTGAGAGCTCAGGTTCAAATGAAGCAATTGTTGAGGATGGCTTGGATGAGTCAGAATGGGATGCGATCTTCCTGCAAGAGGACCGCATCGCCGAGGAGGTTGACCCACCTCCTCTAGGAGGTCACCGCTTCTTAGTCCTCCAGCCCGACCTGAAGGTCAAAGGTACCAAACATGGGCCGGATACCAACCCCCAGCTACAACTCGAGGAGTCCATCGCCTTGATCGAGACCATCCCGGGCTGGAAAGTCGTGGAGGGATTAGTGCAAGGGGTAAAGGAACCCAGCAAAAAGTTGGTCTTTGGGAAGGGGACTCACACCCAACTGACAGAGATAATCCAATCCAGGCCGGAGATCACTGCCGTCTTCCTGAGCATGGAGAAATTGAGTGCCTTACAGCAGAAGGAGCTTGAAGAGACATGGGGAGTCCGGGTGTATGACCGGTGAGAATCACGTTGTGAAGAGAACATTGTAAGAGAGGACCATAGCTACATGTACATCGGGGCAATATAACAGAAATTCAGAGATACTTTGTACACTTTGGAGATTCTGAAGCTTTGCAATTCTTAACATAGGCTGTTTGATAAAACAAAGGTTTTCAAGCCAATCCATTTACGTGTTTAACTCTCCCAAATTGTTGGTTGTACCATTTTTTTCATCACTGTGTTAAGTCTCTGAAACCCCCTTATTGTTGCCAATGTACGTCCAGATTTCTGAAATCATCCATACTTATTTTGTTTTGTGTTTGAATATTTTCTTGTCATCATGAAATGTTTTTGACTTCAATAGATACGCTGTGGTGCTTAAGATCTTCAAAGAGCATGCTCACACTAGAGAGGCCAAAATGCAAATTGCCTTGGCTGAGATCCCATACCTGAGGTCAGTCTTTTGCTGTATGATTTTAGTCGAGTTCTTAAGTAGTACTCCAGTGATGCGGTCAGGTACTTGACTTTATTAGCACTGTCATTGCAGAAGGCTTGAATGGAGACTATGTTACTCAAGATGTACTTGTGAAGATAAGCTTATTTGGGAATTTGCAATTGTGCATCATTCATAATTATCGATGATGATAAGGGGTAGATCTAATTCCAGAATATCGGGGGAGGGCAAATTTGTTTTGGTTGTGCCAAAAAAGTTGGAGATATTTTCACGTCACGTCCCTTTAGGGCCTTTCTGAGGGGTGAGCATGGTGAGCCTATTTGGGTGCTTTAATCTGCTTTATGAAGGAAGGAAAATGAAAAAGACAAAAAAAATTCACCTTTGTCATTTAAAAATAAAAATTGGCTCCCAAAATCTGCTTTAGTTCAATTTCAACACTTTTGTTTTCAAGCAAGAAATTAATTGCAAGAATAAGACTTTCGCCATTGATGAATTAGACACTGGTACATCATTTGCGTATTGCATGACCAGAGACCCTCACAACTTATCCAAATCATGTCAAAATGTGTATCACTATTTTATTTCAATTTTTTTTTTATCAGATCCCGTCTGCGAAATGAGTCTAGCAGCATGGATCAGCAGAGGGGCGGGCATTCCTTCATCAGTGGGGGAGGCGAGACCTTCCTGACTGTACAGCAGCGTGTCTTGAAGGAACGGGAACAGAAAGTGCGAAAAGCCCTGGAGCAGCTGAAGAAGAAACGAGGCCTTCTCCGCAGTAGCAGAACCAAGAAGAACTATCCAGTGGTGTCAGTGGTGGGATACACAAACGCAGGTAACTCGAGCAGGTGAAGAATGCAGACCTCATCCAGGGTTGTTTTCGAGACGTTCTTAAATAACCACCACAAGACCATTCTGAAGTCACACACTGTTGAAATGAGCTGCATTAAAACTGTTCCTTTGTCATCGTTACTTGTGACTAGTCTTGTGGCTGGTCTGTTGTCTGGTCTCACATCCTAGTGGATCTGCCACAGCCTACATGCCTGCCATCATGCTTCAATAGTCTTAATGATAATATTCCTTTTTTTGTACTTGTGTGGTTTCTGTGGAGCCGGTGGGTTGGGTTGTAGCAACCGAGGGGTGTGTAGGGGAGGTGTGTGGGGGATGCACCATCCTCCCACCCAATAATCAATTCCAAGCATCAGCAAGTAGAGCTTTGGTCTGCAAATGACTCCAAATTTAGTACATAAATGATATACATAATTCCCCTGAAGCATGGAATGTAGCGTACCATGGATAACTTTGTGAATTTTAGACAACATGAGGTTGTGAACAAGTTAGAAGACGGCAAATTGACTCTGGCACACACCCCAAAAAAATGCCTTCGCTATGGTACTGCCAGTGGGGGCCTGCAGTTCACTGAGCACCTTGGGAAAACACCTGTAAGGTGTGGCATCATCAGTACAGAGGTCTAATAGTCCATAGCTTTATGTTTGTCTTCTTTGTATCACTCGAAAATCGGCCTACCCATCTCCATCAGGTAAGACAACCCTCATCAAAGCACTGACCGGCGACGTCTCCATGCATCCCAAAGATCAGCTCTTTGCAACATTGGACGTGACTGCTCACGCCGGTACCCTCCCCAACAGGATGCCTGTTATCTACATGGACACAGTCGGCTTCATCTCAGCCTTGCCTCATAATCTGGTGGCATCTTTTTCCGCCACTCTCGAAGATGTTCTGCTTTCCGTAAGTCAACTTGATTTTGTTAAGAACTCTTCCATATGTACAAGGCGCAGTATCTCTTTAACCCAGTTTAAGTTTAGGCCTGTCAGGATTTATTTATCAAAGTGCATGTGATTTCTATACAATTAGGAATGTTCAGAGTTTTAGATTTGGAGAGTTAGTTGATTGATTTCCTGTGATTGACGTGTTGTGGTTTAATCGACACCAGGACATCATCGTACATGTTCGAGATATAAGCCACCCAGACACAGTAGCCCAGAAGGAGAAAGTTCTTCAGGTTTTGTCGGAACTTGGCGTATCTGATTCACTTATGGATAACATGGTGGAAGCCTGCAACAAGGCAGATAAAATTCAAGAGTAAGTTGAAGTACTTTTTTAAACTTCACCTAGGAGAGGTGAATAAGTGAATTGGTCTGTTGAAGTAGACTTATGTCGTCTTCCACTCTAGGTGTGCGCATTAGTTTTAGTTGTCGTTCAAACAGCATTTTGTAAAATGTACCTCAAATCTCAATTACATGTCGAATGCATCACAAAATTTAGATACTTTTTAAAGCCATTCTGCTATTTTATCATCATTACTATTTGGTTTTGTGAAAATCCAACGTTTAATGCTTATTCTATTCTGTCTGTATCTAAATAGACCTGCTGGAGCAGAGCATGAAACTTCCGGCATTGTGATCTCGGCAGAGACGGGGTTGGGTCTGGACAAACTCAGAGACTGTATTGAAGCCAGGCTGTTGGAGGTGACCGACATCATTCCTTGCCGACTGGAGATACCAATGAGTGGCCCACATCTGAGGTAATGCGGTAAATGCTTTGAGCTGGTTTCTTGTCTTTGCCAAGACTCACACCAGGATTTTCTTGAGCGTTTAAAACTGATAATGTGTCATGGATTGCCTGATCAGTTAGGTACATTGTATTACAAATTGCCATGAAATTCCTTGACATACCGGTTTTAATCAAGTACACCGCAAGTACTCCACATGTATTCAAGTCCTCGACTGCTACCCCACAAACACATGTTGAACACTTGAGAACCCCAAAAGTTCTCTATGACTACTTTTTCTTTTAATTAGCCTGAAATTCCATCCAATATTCCACAGTGACAAAAATCCCATGAACCCTTGCGGAATAGCAACTACTCAAGCTGTTTTTTTCTAATTTTCCTACATTTTTGTTTTGCCCAACTCCAGTTGGTTGTACAAGGAAGCCACAGTCACATCAACAGAGGCTGTTGGCACCGACAACGATGCACAAACCATGATAGTCAATGTCATCCTAAGAGCTGCTACCTTTTCCAAGTTCCGGTCGAAGTTTGGAGATTTGCGAAAATCAAGCCCAGGCTGATATTTTAGTCCAACTTTGATCATGCATAAGATAACACCTGGATGATATTCCATCTTCTACAAGTACATGTATTCCTGTTACATCCAGTGTGTATCAATTATTGTACAGATGGGGATTAGTACCTGCTAATGTTGATTACTTGAATGAGTACTTCAAAATGTGGATGCATGAAAGTACTTGAATTAGTACCTCATGAAAGTACTTGAATTAGTACCTCATGAAAGTA